TAGCAAATTGAAATATATATATATACATATATATACATATATATAAATACATATGCACACACACACAATATATATATATATATATATATATATATATATATATGTATATACATATACATATGTATGTATATATACATATATATTCATATATACATATATATGTATATATACATATATATTCATATATACATATATATGTATATATACATATATATGTATATATACATATATATGTATATATACATATATATGTATATATATATATATATATGTATATGTATACATATATATATGTATACATTATATGTATATATACATATACATATGGACTCTTGTCTATTTATATATCTATCCCTCTCTCTCTCTCTCTATCATATATATATATATGTATATGTCTGTGTGTTTGTGTGTATTTATATACACATAAGTAAATATATATATGGATGTGTATGTGTATGTATATTTGTATTCATATTCATATTCATATGTACGTATACATGTGTGATTGTGTACACAAACATACATATATATATACATACATGTATGAATATATATATGCATATATATATACACATATATGCATTTATATACATATATGAATATATATATACATCTATCTGTCTATCTATCTATATATTGTGCGCGTATGCGCGTGTGCATCCACGAGTGCACTCGTGTATCACAGTGGTTTTGTACTAGTAAGCTATTTCAAGGAAATCCGATTTACTGCTGAAAAATGCTTTTGCATATTTCAGAAGAGATATATTAAACCAAGAGAAGAAATTTCTTTGTTCTAGCTACAGAGAAAGGAAGAGAAGAATCAAAGAAAAAAGAGGTTGAATGTCCAACACACGCAGTTCCTGAGCAATCGGTCCAGCGCTTTCCTAGTGACTGTCCTGAACAGGCTTCTGGGCAGCATTTGTGGCCCCGTCGACACTGGTTGTCGAGGCAGCAGAACGGCAAAGGGGGATGCAAACTTATATATATATATATATATATATATATATATATTATATATATATATATATATATATATATATATATATATATAAATTTATTAAGAGAAAATCTTACATTTGGAAAGTAGTCCGGCCGAGGATGAGGAATTTCAATAAGGAATTTCACTGTACTGGCGTAAGCCTCACGTTATCCTTATTCTTAGCTTAACACATTTTCGCACAAGGCCTCGAGTATATTAACACTATATAAATAGCTCAGCCTTTGTCTCGCTTCTCTGACTATCGCAACGCACTTTTTCATAATACATTCCACGCCAAACTTGCTATAAATTTCCCAATACGTCTGCTGACCCTTCAGCACAACCAAGATGCCTGTTCCTGCCAGACGCGATTGTCTGCGCTCTGCCTGTACTTCCGGCCACGTTGCAACTGGGTCATCCCACGGCTTAGTACATATGGTCCTATCGAAAATGTTCCCTTTGTGTGCGTGTGTCTGTGTGTGTATCACAATATTTGATGCACACAAGCCATTCCATGGAAAAAAAAACACTAGACCAAATTCCAATCCAAGTTTATTGGTCAAATGAAACATGAGATGAGATGGTAAACCATTAGAAGAAAGTTCTTCGTGACATCCACAGGAGGAAATGACAAAGAGAAGAATGAACGCAAATAAGAAAAAGATAAATGGTCATGCACGCAGTTCTTCAACAGTCGGTCCAGAGTTCGTCATGCGCCATGCACTCGCTGGGGCATGACTCAGACGGGCACACAGATTTTCCTTTGGGAACAGCCGTCTGTGCAGCATTTCTGGTCCGGTGGACACTGGTCATCGTGGTAGCAGTACTGCAAGAGAGGAGGGAGAGTGCGTGAGAGATGGCTCGCTTTCCTCCGTTCGGCTCCAAGGAAGGAGAGGAAGAGGAATTGCAGGAAAGGAAAGATGCGCTTTTGTCGAGAAGCTTTGCTTTTTCAGAAAAAAAATCTAAAGGTGCCAGTTTGGAAATTAGTTGAAAACTAATCAACTCCATTCCGATCATTCAAGAAACCTTTTTCTTCATGATAGCCGTTTTCCACTGCATGCAAAAAACATCAATCAATATCACAAAGGACATACTGGGCCAAATAGCCATATCTAGAAACAGTAAATATTACGCTGCTTTACATATTCGATTTTACTATTTAAATTATCACTATGAAATTGTGGTTATTTATGAACGCTCAGTCTCTGAATCATGTTTTAGTTTCTACCATGATAAGAAATTCGCAGGCTAATAATACTTCTTAAATTATGAGCTTGACCTTAAATTAACAAATGATTTACAAGAAAAAAACTAAATATATTAAATGTTGAAAATCTAAATTAAAGTAAAAACCAAACTAAACAAAAACAAAAGCAATGGCTTCAATTCGTCCTTGTTTATCCTCGCATTCATCCGACTCCGGCAGCTGGAGCGTCCGAAATCTCCGAGCCGAGCGGACGAGGAGCGAAGAGGAGCCGGAAATACTTACGGGGAAGTTGCCGTCGAAGAAGTCGTAGCAGG